TTWAAAAAATTAAGTATTATGCAAGCTTAGAGTATTAGTTTGAATCATTTGTAAACCTGAGATGTTTTTGATGGATTCACCAGTTTTTTTTCATCCTTTAGTAAAGACCAGACAGTTGGATCAATAAAACCTAAAACTCAGAGCAGTGGTAAGACATATCTCATTCCGTAATTTTTGTCAGTTCCTTCAGGAAATTCCAAATATGACTTTTGGTACTTCAGCAATTTATACTTTTTGAGATATTTAGCTTTTTTTTTTTTTGGCTTTTTCTTTTTCTAATTGAAAATTAATGAAACTGTCTTTAAATTCCTTAAAACTCTTCAAATGTTCATAAATCCTTACTGTACTGTTTACCCTTTGTTCTGGTTCTGATTTTTTAAACTCCTYTATACTAACTTCAGCTTCCTTCTGCTTCTGTTTGACTAATGTTAGCTTTTTTCTGCTTTTTAGCTATAATTCTGACCTTTTCTTCTGTTATTCTAATTTAAGTTGTTTTGGTGGTTTAGCTACTTTGAGCTTAATTTTTCAGCTCATTTCACCTATTTGTGATCATTTTAGCTTCTTACTGCTTAATTCAGCAAAGTTTGTTTCTTGTTTAAATGCTTATCAAGCATTCACACWATTAAGATCATTTGTTTTTGAMCACATTACGCARTTTTTGTGCCGTYTCAACTAGTACTATTTCAAAACATTCAGCTCCTTCAGAAATTTTCAGCTTTGACTTTTGAYAGGGCGATTTTTTCTCATTGTAACAGAATGAAACACTTCAAAATCTTGACTTTACTGTTTATATTTTGTTTTGATTCAACATTTCAAACTTCTTTGTGCTAATTTCAGCTTCATTTGGCTACTGTTTTGCTGATTTTAGCATTTTTCAGATTTTTTTAGCCATCGTTCTTTTTCAACTTCATTTTCTACTTTCAATTTTTCTCTTGTTCTTTCACTTTCTTTCTGCCCTCTTCAGCAATGTTTGCCCCTTCCAGGTGTAATGTTTTTCCTGTTTACTTTTTATCTGCATATTTCTGCTTTCTTCAGCTAATTTCCTCCCCTTTAAGCCTTTGTTTTCACAGTTTCTTCTTCATCAGAAAATTTCAACAATCATTCAGCTGATTTAGGGTTCCACCTCAAATTGTAGCAAGCATTAATCTTTTTTTTTTTTCATTTAATTTTGCTTGGTTTAGTTTAGTTTAGTTTAGTTTAGTTTAGTTTAGTTTAGTTTAGTTTAGTTTAGTTTAGTTTAGTTTAGTTTAGTTTGGTTTAGTTT